TATTTTGACTCTGACTAGGATTGTAACAAGAAAATGGGTGTTATAGGAAGACTTCCACTTTTTATTCGACAATAGACCAATATTCTTGGTAGTAGTATTAGGTACAATGAAATCTGTGTAAAGCCCATAATATATACGTATTACACCTTCTCCTTCTTTTTATTTCTTGTTTCAACATCACGGCCCATGGATACTTGAGAGTAATACTTACATCAGCGCTACTGGCCTTTTAGGTAACAGAAAGCTCGAAGTGTTTATACTTGACAGATAAACATAAAAACCATCGTTGCATTAAAAAAATGTTAATGAAGTTGAGACCATTTTTACAGTTCTCGTTAGTTTTCAATTTGAATACGTACGATCTCAATATACAGTTACGCTTCCAGTATTAGAACTTTTCATACATACGTAACAAAGAAAACTATTAAAACTGTTCACAATATAAGTATAAAACACAATGGTTTACATTAATAACGGACTAGCAGGCCCTCCGAGCTTCGGTGAAAGTGCGCAATCATGCGAACGTAGGATACATTGCTCTTGTCCTTTTTTCCCCCTTTTTTCTATGACGGCTTTTTTTAATTTTCCCGCTTCGGCTACTGTAGGCGGTCGAGTCTTAAAAGAGTCTGTATTTAATTTAATTTTCTGACTAATTAATAAGAAATGCAGGTAATAATGGGCATCCATGTAATGGTCGTACTAATTACATCGACTCTTTTAAATAAGATGCTATCATAACGTAGTATACCCATCGTATTATTACATTATTCATTTTATATTTTTTCAAAACAAGAAATGATTTGGATATCATAGTTGTGTATTCGACACCCATTATATACCGATTAGTTTTCTTTTTTCGGACTTAATACTTTTGAAGTAGTTAGACCTAGGGACTACATTCAACTCGATGCGATATACGCTATATAACTTACTCTTTTTTAGGAATTTCAATTCTTAGAAAAGAAACTAAGTAAGTAACTACTTCTATAATATGTTAAATTGCTAAATATATTATATATGTAAATAAGTAAATCATAAACTATTGAATGTTTATGTACTAAATATCAAATCAGAGAAACAAACATATTCAAGGTTATTATATATATTGGTTTCTCTAGGGTCCTTTTATTTTGCTGATTTTTTTAACTTCTGTCGTGATTTAGACGGCATTACAATTTGATAAGAGTTTTTCAGATACAAGTCATTACTAGTTAGCGCGTGGTAAATTAATATTTAAAAATTTCATGATGGTTGACAATAGAAGTCGATTGGGTATCAATGTTAATGTTTAAAAACAATGACACTATTTCTACCATTTTGATTATCAAAATTAATTCGTGTTGTTTATTTGCTTGGCTTTGAATCCTGCCCTTCGTAGCTATCGAATCGATTCTTAGTAGGAGTCCATAAAAAATGGAAAAATATGATCCCACACTTCGACATAGAAAGAAGCATAAGGTGAATATACAATAATTTTAAAACATTGAAATATTTATGACTCAATTTCCAATGTGGTCTCTCAACTATTCCAAACAAACGGTATACCACCGACAGAAAAGAAACCTGGGGAAAAGAAAAAAAATATAATAATTCAAAATGGCGTCTGGCCACTTAATAACTGGCTGACACCATTGGGAAATATAATTTAATTTTTCTTCGCTACCATCTCCCTCTACAATGAGTGTGTTACATGCGTCCGTCTCTCTCTAGCATTTCCTTACTCCGACTCCATGCCCCCTTTCTCCTGAAGCATTTGCTTGTTCGGGAGGTCCCGTGTCACAGTGTTCTGGACAAGAAATATTTGCGATATTGTATATTAGGTGATTTGTGTATACGGAATGTACGCAAAACGAATTTATTGCCCTACTAGATTTCCATTAGACGGATAGTGGAATTGCGGAAAAGAAAATATAGAACAAAGCTGTTTCAACATTGCTAGTAGCTAAATCAGGACATGAAATATCATCTAGGCGTGGAAAACTATGTTTTGTACAAATATAGGCCGACTTTATAATAATCGTACGTTGCTTTTTATTCCTGTCTCCGTAATAAATGACAGTTGATTAATATGAACGTTATTAATGTAGATATGCTATATTATTTTTTATGTTATCTTATAATTGCTATAATTATTGATACAGCAATCCACATTTTGGCATTTGGCTCTAATTTATTGTAAAAATTTACATGGCTAGGCTATAAAAATGCAATACATTAAAATTACTGTTACTCTTATTAATATTTAAATGTTATTAAGCTTTCCATGAAGGATAGCCAAGCTTTCTGGATCATAGCGTTAAGTTCACTGATAATAAAGAAGTTTACTATTAATTAACATTACCTTGTTTATAGCTGACGCCAGAAAGTTTGAAATTTGACTTTCGCACTTGCCCGCTTACATCTTTTTATTTCAAAATGTTATAAAACACAATAAAGCCACCAGTACAAGTCGGGGCAAAAACTGTATTTACGGATGTCGCCATGGGGCCAGGTGTGAGCATAATATTCTAATGTCGGTAAGAGCGACCCGCCATCCATAATAATATAACAGCCGCCACACTCCCCCACGGGTGGCGGTAAGTCCGTGGCACCCACACGTGCTTTAAATTTGTGCATACATACGTTTTATACAGGTACTTAATAGTTTGTAACTCATTTAAAACGCACGTTTTTCCTTTTAAATCTTTACCTCTACATTAATACGATTTTTATTGCATGGAGATTGTAATCAGGTATGGGTATCAAACCGCAACGCTGAAGCCAAATCCCGAGCACACATCCCAAGTACACCAAGCAATCAAATGACAAAAAGCAACGCATTATCTTGATTATTTTAAATCAGAAGCTCTTATCATGGTTAAATGAAATTATTTTACAGATTTTGTTATACTAGTGGTCGCACCGAAGTCAAAATTCGACCATAATTAATTATACATGCTAGTATGTATTTTTTTTTTTATTTATTCAATGTGTTTTTAATGCGTAATTTAGAACATCATTCATGCTTTCTTCACTCCTTCTCTATATAAACTATAACTGTGACAAATTTCATACTCCCCCGTCCGCGCAATTTTCTTAAAAAGGGGTACAAAGTCTTTACTTGACGTATTAATACATAGATTACTTCATATTTTCTATGTTGGTAAGGACTTAAGGACTCATATTAAGTTTTTGTAACACTACTGACATTCCATACATTTTTCTATAAAGTTATCCATAAATTCCTGAAAAGGATTACTTATGAAATGGGATTCGATATAGAGTTATTCATTGTAAAGGCTAGTTGTTGGCCGCTCTTTCATAATCGTTTTTAAATTTTCGTGGAGGTAGAAAGTAAGTTACGGTGGAGTAATAAATAATAACAATTTTTATTATTTAATACAAAATTTAACAGTTCTTCGAATGAAAATATATATATAAGCGCCATCTAACAAATGTTACAAAAACTCTCTTAACCAGAATGTTTAGGTATTAATTCTCAGGAATTTCTCAGGTTCAAACAACATCTGTTAGATGGCAGCTATAATATATAAAATAATTGAACACATCGAGACGTCATCAATCACAAAGGAAGTCAATGAAAACAATTAAACTTAGCAGATTTAATTGAACTCTTTTTGTAAATTTTTGTAAGTCTGGCACTATTCCTTGAGATTATATTTAATAATTATAATAATCTCTTATGAACTTTTTTCAAAAACTCTGAATAAATTGACTTTAAATATAAAATAAAACAATAATTGATTAAAGACTACTACTATCCATACTTTTTTATGATTGTCAAAAACGTCATGTTTGTAATTATCCTAATCGCAAGCTAAATACGATACCTTCCGTATCTGCTATATTTACAATGTCTATAGCATTATTTACAATATGATTACAACTGTAGTTTGTACAATTACGTTTAAAGAATTCCATGAGTACATTTGCGTATATTGTGGCGCGAGTACGGCGTCAATGACACCTACCGTTATTCAATGACGATGTGCTAGCTATTTCTTGCCCGCAAATCATTAAATCTTCCCTAAAAATACTAAGATAGAGAATGGAATAGCAATTGTGACAGATTTTATTAAGTTTATTGAACTAGAGCTAATCTTTCGTTTGCGTTTCTTAAATTTAGCATTAATATTTTGTAGTTATACTAATAATACTATGTCATTGTACTATATAATATTGTATTATATAATTTATCATTGTTGTCGCTTTAATTATTATGACTTAAATTAGGTAATTAATTAGATACCACCACAGTAATATTATTTATAGGGCTAGGCTACAGTCTTCGCTGTTGCAAGAATGGGCAGGTCGGTCCGGTTAAGTACCTCGACCTCACAGAAGGACGGCGTGAAGTGAAAATGATGTACTTCTGCTTTTCGTCTGGTGAGTGAGAGGCGGGGCCCACTTCATAATAAGATGGCAACGAATTTGCAACCCTACGGGTGTTCCAAATGTCAATGAGCGGCGGTTATCACTTAAAATCAGGTGAACAGTCAGCTCGCTTGAAACCTTCTTACATAGAAAAACAACTCGTTTGTAAGGAGTGTAACTGAGTGTTGTTAAAAATAATTTATTTATTTAAAATTTTAAAGTCTCATACGAGTCTAAAACGTTATAGTTAAAATCCCCTAAATAGTCACGCCGAAATGCTTTTCGCACTTGTTTGAAGAGAGATTGAATAGAAATCCACTTTTATCTCTAATATCTTTCTTATTGTTGGAACAGAACCGTTGATATCGAGTCTACTATTGCGAAGAGACATCAGTTACGTCTCTCACCGCTCTGTGTCGGTATCTTGTGATATTAAATTTTGTATAAGCGTAGCGTTGGAGAAAATGAGAAACACTACTCCAATTGTTTCGCCAATATATTTCAACGTTGCTGAATACTGTTTGTTCGGTATTAACCTTGGTGTTATTATCGGAATCATATTGTATTTCATTGTGGTGAATAAAAAGTATAATACAGTCGCCGGATTTCTCTTTGGAGGGAAAAATATGTCTGTTATATCTATTTCGCTCGCTCTCGTTGCTAGGTGAGTTGTTTGTTTGTTTGTTTTTCTGTAAAGTCTTTTGTTTATTATAATATTCTTACTTATGATTTTTTATTAAAGTTATTTATTAATGATAATCAATCAACTAAAATCTGAAAGATGTACATAAAAATATGGAAATGATAGTATGAAACCACAGTATTTTAAGATATAACAGATTGTGACAGAATTTATTATGTTTACAATATGATTTAAGCGTTACAAATAACTGTTATTAATTATAATAATTAGAGTGTAATTTAAAATAACACTAACTTAATTATTAATCTACCTAAAACAATGTTTTGGTTTAAATTATAAGTATATTTAATCACTTTTTAATTTTGAAAACTGTCTGTTTGTCTTTCAAAATGACAACTTTGAAAATAATGAATGAATAATATGTATATCATAATCACATATATCAATTTATATGTTTTGCGTGTATATGCTTTTTATATATTATAAGTATTGATTTCTGACATACTTTTTCTTATGATAATAGTAGAGAATGCCATTAGGCATTAAGCCCTTTGCTTAAGGTATTGCAATTGAGTTTAAATAAAAAAAAATGTTTTGCGTTTTGTTTCAGCCATTTAACAAGTATAACACTGCTAGGCGTGCCTGTTGAAATATACCTTAGAGGTACGCAGTATTGGGCATCGGCGCTTTCGCTCATAGTTGTCACTTTCCTTACGGCTGTCATTTATTTGCCAGGTAAATATTGATGAACGGACATCTTCAGGGTACAACAAAATGAGTCACCTTCACAAGTATCACGTCTTCGCATATCAGTTATTTACGATCTTGTGTGATAGACTGACTCTTATAAGTATTATGAAATATGATGATGTAAAGGATGAAAAAAAATGATTTAAACCCGTCAGGATTGTGTGGAAGTAAATGGGATTGCCTCCTCCTCTATGTAAATCTATTGTCTTGATTATTACTATACTCTCTTTATTTTTCTGACTTTCTGAGTTTGACCCACTTGATAATTTGTGCATTAAACAATTTTATTTCAGCCTCTATTTTGTGTAAACGCTTTAAGGAGACGAAGACATTGTCATCGTTTCGTATTCTGCGACATTTTCATAATGTTAGTATCATTTCAGCAATAGAATTTCTTTAACGGCAAGTGAAAACATTTTTGTGATGATAAAAATAGTCACAGGGACAATACAGTACCGTTTCAACTTTGTCATGCTAATAATATCTTTCAAAGACTTGCATTATCGTTGAGGTCTGAAGGAGTAATTGAGCGAGGCAAAGATGCCATCTTTCATCAATATTCCATTCCCATTAGTATGGAAGCTCAATAAATAATTGAAGCTTGAAGACATATCTTCGAACGTGCAAAACTCTTGTCAACAATATTAAGGCCCAAATTTTATTCGAAGATTTCAATTTAATCTTCTGTTATTTATAAATCCCAATTTATTTATTAGATATAGATAACTCAATTACTCTATTTTAAATATGTACAGTGAACGATGGTCATTATATTACAATGATAGATTTCTATTATATAATTGTGAATCATATTATAGATTTTTTTTTTTAAATCCAATATAGAGATTAGTATACGATATATCTGCTTAAATTCATCAAATGATATTTTATTTAATTTAGCAGAACCAGCTTTGAAACTGTTTTCGTTTGTACTCCATTAAATATAAATTTATTAATTACTTTCAGTATTTCACAAACTGCAACTTTCATCTAGTTTCGAATATCTAGAAATTAGATTCTCGACTCACACTCGTACTATTGCGGCTGTTTTGTTTGTGATTAGTAAGTTGATGCTTCTGCCGATAGTACCATATGTACCACTACTGGCATTTAGATTGGGTATGTATTCGTACAAGAAATTAAAAATATTATTTTACTGACATCTCATGATTTTATGATTTTAACTAATCACCCACTAAAGCTTATGGAGCGGACTTTCTCAGTTAAAAAAAAATTCTGTCTATTACAGTCACAAACCCTTTCGCTGGTAGAATAACAGCAGTCATCTGCGTAATCTGCGCAACTTTTAGTTCAGTTGGCGGTCTACGCGCTATAGTCAGCATTGGAATCGTAACAACTTTCCTGTCTGTTGCTGGAACGGCGCTACCAAGTGGACTCGCTTTGCTGCCAATGGGGTTTAAGAGGATGTGGGAAATCGCCAGTTATGGAGGTCGGCTTGTGTTTTACGAGTAAGTGTGCATTATCATATCAGTGATAACTTTTTCAATTACTGAGAGTTGGTGAATTTACCATTTGATATATTTATTTCATTCGCTTTTAAATATGGCTTACATTTATATATCTCATGGCTTACATCCGTCATTAACGTTTCCTTATCATTTTCCTATTCATTTTTGATTTACAAACATTAGAGTCCTCTATAGCTTACGATGTCATGTCACTGTTTTATCTATTGACACCTAAATATCTGATTATAAAGTGGTTAATTGGACATTCGTGTTCGTAACTCATTTATAAGCAAACTAGCTGCTGCCCGCGACTACGACTGCGTATAGGGGTGAAAATTTAGGGTTGTATGTATTTTTGTATGCTGTGTCATAAAAAAAATAGAAACAAAAAGTTTTTTATAAAAAAAAAAAAATTAGGGGTGGACTACCCCCTTAACATTTAGGGGGACGAAAAATAGATAGTAGCCGATTCTCAGACCTACTGAATACGCATATAAAATTTGGTAAAAATCGGTCGAGCCGTTTCGAAGCAGTTCAAGTTCGAACCCCGTGACACGAGAATTTTATATATTATATAGATGTATACTAAAACTTTTCTAACAAATAAACAACTTCTACAAGCAACAACGAAATTTCTAGTCCTGATCCCGAATTGGCACATCACACCTCGTTTTTCGCTGTAACTTTGGCACTTAGCACCAATTGGCTATGGAAGATAGCATTAAGTCAATCCACGCTCCAGAAGTTATTGGCCGTACCCACCATTGGCAAGGCTAGACTTTGTTTAGCGATATCCTGTGTTGGAGTCATATTGATGAAGCTGTTATCGTGTTTCCTTGGCTTGGCTCTTTACGCTTGGTACGCAGGCTGCGACCCGCTTCTTACAGGGCAAATAAAGAAACATGAACAGGTAAAAACATCTTATTAGTATCACACAGTTTGAAATTATAACTTTGATATAAAATCAAGTATACTGTTGTATTTCATTTTTATTTAATTCAAATTACGTAAATTACAAATCTTAAAAGGTTACAGTCGGTTATCCAATATAAGTATTATTATATATATATACGAAATGTCTTTAAAATATACGAAAACAAAACTTTGTAATAAACTTTTAAGGTTAAAAATAATATACATTCATCTTGCAGTTGGTACCACACTTTTTGAACAACCTGGCTGCGATGTTTCCTGGAATTTGTGGAATTTTCATAATCGCGATATTTAGCGCAACTGCAGGGTTAGTGTGAAAATTTACATTGTTAGTACCTGTAAAATGGTGCCTTCCATAGAAAATATGTGATAATTCGTTTGTGTTTTCAGATGTATTGCATCTCTCATAAACTCAGTGTCTGGAGTTCTTTTCGAAGAATTTATTAGACCATGGATGCCTCAAAATACTAGTGAATTAACATGCTGTAAAATAATGAAAGTAAGTTTTATTGTATTTTTTGAGTTGGCAAGCGAGCTGGCGGTTTCGGTTTAATCGATTTTCGCCGGCCATTGACGTTTCTAGGGTTGCTGATGCGTCGCTACCTATTAACAAAGTGGGCACCGGCTATCTCACTCACCAGACGAAACGCAGAAGTAAAAAACTTCAGTTTCACGCCGGTCTTCTGTGAGGTCGTAGTACTTACCTGGTCGGACCTGCTAATTCGTGCAACAACGAAGATGAGGAAGAATACGTGGTCCAACCACAATATTTCGGGATCTGATGGTTTTACAATACATAAATTTTAGTATCCGTATTAATTGTCGTTATATTTTATTGCAAATCAATAATATATTTACTTAAATACATTTTCTTGATTAGCGAAAAAGAATTGTTTCAGGTATTATGTGTATTAGTCGGTCTCTACTGCGCCAGTGTGGTATGGACAGCTAAAGAATTGGATCGTTTACAACACGTTGCATCAGGTGTTACGGGTGTAACTGCTGGGACGTTGTTGGGCCTGTTCACTCTCGGAATTGTATTTTCCCGTGCTAACTGCTCAGTAAGTTCTAACTAAGCGCCATCTACTTGTTGGGAAATGAAATTAAAACTTCTTAGCATTTCGTAGGAAATGTTAACTCTGAGAATTGTATTTTCCCGTGCTAACTGCTCAGTAAATAGCGCCATCTATTGGTTTAGAAATGAAATTAAACAACCTAGCAGTTTTGTTATACTTGGTTATAATGCCATCTGTCATCGCAAACATGAAATTGCTCTTACACTGAATAATTAATTCAAAGAAAGGCTTATATCATTGAGCAGATGTCGCCTATAAAAAAATTGAGTCAGAAATTGCTTTCTTATTCTGATTTTTGTTATGATATCTACTTAATTCTAATTTAACTGGATATGTTAATTATCAAAGCCATAAGTTCTTTAGTAACATTAAACATCAATATACGTAGTGAAATTTTAATATATTCTTCTACTCAAAATAATTCAGTAAGATACGGTACATTTTTTGATAGGTACAGATTATACAGATATGCGGTTTTTTTTAATTGATTTTCATATTATAATAATATTTTTATTGATTTGACTGCAGTTTCATTATGTTTTATTTGCTCCGTCCACGTAACAGGGAGCACTTAGTGGCTGTCTATTAAGCTTGCTACTGTGCGGCTGGCTTCTGATAGGGGCTGAAAACGCTCTAGCAACGGGAGCGTTGACCTTTCAGGGAAAGCCTTTGGTCACCTCTGGTTGCGGCAAAGCGAATTTTACGCACATTTTCGCCAACATGACAACAATTATTCCCAACGCCGCGTGAGTATCTAATTAAATGTTATTTATAGGCAGTTAACAGTGAATTATTTGTTTTATAACGCACGTCGCTGTATTGCGTAATTAAAGTGCTTAAATTAACGAGGCTTTGTCAGCAGCATTCGTTTCAAAGTTAATTTGTTTGTTTTGGATATAGTCTTTTTTATATTATTAAATATTTATAACATTCCCGGGATTATTATATACTAACTGGGAACTACAACAAACGAACAAACGAGTATTATAAAAGACGGTCGGTCGGTTTATTTGATATTTTATCTCACCTACAATTCAAAAACTTTTGAAAGATGAATTATTGTCATTATAAATATTTTTTTTAATGTGGGTATAATATTTGTGTAAAGCGTATGTTCAAGTAATTACTAAGAAAACTTGGGTGACGGGGTGAATTTGGCAAATATCTTATTCTTGTTTTGTCAAAAGGCATTAGTGAGGTCATGTAATAATTACAATTTTATTAATCACACACATACAGGGAGAGAAACCATCTTTCAACTTGAACTCTAATTTATTCATAAATTTGTTATTGTTTACTCAAAAAAAATTTTTTCTCTTTCATACAAAATTCTTTTACGGCGGCTATCGCGGTTATTCTTTCATTGGCAGTCTTTGAAGTTCTCCTTTTACATTTCCGGATTTTATTTAAGAACATAAAACTATAATTATCAATTTTATTTTCAGCTCAGGTTATAATTTCTACATCTAAACAAATCCTAACCAGAATATTGGAAACAAGTGTCAAGTTATGCAAAAACTGTTTTAGTTAGAACCCAGTGATATTATATACAAGTGATATTATATACAAATGCACGAGCGCACCGAAATTGAGACAATGAAATAACACCAATTGGTGTACTTACATTTCAATTCTATAGACTACTATCTCTTTCCATATTATACGTTCTAAGTATATCATCTGTCACATTCACACAAATATGTCATTTATTAAACATCATTTTTAAAACCAAATCTTTTTCTAAATGTCAAAAGCATACTAAATTTGTCAAATGGAACTATTTTATCGCGTTTTGAGATTTTTAATTATCGACGTTTCGAACCCTTCCCAGCGTTCATGGTCACGGAACAGACAGTGCACCTTATATTTCTGCGTTTCGTCTGCTGAGTGAGATAGCCGTGGCCCTCTTTGGCGAATACGTGGCGACGCATCTGCACCTTACGGGTGATGCAAATTTCCATGGGTAGCGGTTATCACTTAACGTCAGGTGAACCGCCAGCACGCATGCCTCCTTCTTACATAAAAAATGTTAAAATTTAATAATAATTAAATACTTGAGTTGAGGTCTGCTAAAGCTCTTACCGGCTCACAATGAACTCTATTGCATTTACGCATACTTTTAGTAGGTACGTTATATACTTTTTAATAACAACAAACGGATATATTCCATACTTGTTAGATAAGCATAAATTTGGGTAAAGGTAACTTTATCGCTGATTTTGTATCGTTAAGGAAACGTTAGGCCATAAATAACAATCGTTATAAATTGAAGACGTAGGGTAGGGTCTACTCTCCAAGGCGAATCTCTCGGGAATTTGTGCTATACATTACGCCTATGGGGCGAAATCTAACGTAAAGATCAACTCCGCACCAAAATTCGGCCGTAACTTCACCCACTTATTAATTTATAAGCATGAGCAAAATACTGATATTGAACGGAGCAGCTAAAATTTTAGCCGAGTTCTAAATGTAGTTTGTCATCCTCTGATACTTTTTGACATTTAATCGTCAATCAGTATTACGGCTGGACGTTGAAATGGAAATAGTGACTGATAGGGGTATCCGAAAAAGCTTTTAAAAAATGCTGCACCATTTAATATTAGAGTGGCCGAAGTGTACAACAGAATAGTTAAAAATATTTTTTCTTTTCGTATTTGTTTTAAAAAATATTTTGTTCCAACGAGAAAAGACTAAACCATTGGCTGTTCTAATACTAACAAAATATTCAGTTTAAGCTAATTTTAAAGTATTTTAACAGACCTTTTTTTATCATTTTAAGGGTGCCGTACCTCAAAAGGAAATAAAGGAACCCTTTTAAGATCACTCTCTTGTCCATCTGTTTATATGTATTCCTAAATGAGTTCACGGTGGTAGGGACACGCAGCAGCCTCGGCTGTTGCACGAATGGGCAGGCTCGTCCGGGTAAGTACTACGACCTCACGACCTCACAGAAGACCGGCGTAAAGTGGAAGTATAATACTTTCACGTTTCATCAGGTGAGTAATGTGGCCGGAGCTCAATTTTCAAAAGGTTGTCAACGCATCTGGAACCCTCGGGTGTAGCAGATGTCCATGGGCGGCGGTATTCATTAACATCAGGTGAACCGTCTGCTCGCTTGGCAACTTTTCACATAGAAAAAAATGAGTAATAGAGTAACCTACCTTATCTGAGGAGTATACAAGTAGCGAATTGAGCGTTCTGTTCAATTGGCGGTTGATCTTAACGAAACAATTTTTAATTCTGACTTTTCTTCCCCAGCACCCAGCTTCCGACGAAGCCGCTGCAGTCTCTGTTTCGCATATCATTCACGTACTGTCCGTTCGCCGGCGCGATTGCGGTGCTCGTCATAGGAGTGCCAATGAGCTACCTCACAGGCAAGTCGAGGACCGACTCCATGAACCCGGACGTCTTCTGCCCGCTAACTCAGAGCTTTCTGCACAAATCGATGCAGAGAAGCACTTCGGTATCCATGGAAACGAGGGCGCCGAACACCCAAGAAGTCTACATGGCTCTGGATGAAGCTCTGAAACATTTGAAGGAGGTCATAGAGAGATAATATTGATACAGTGCGTTTTTATTTGCATTCGAAATACATACCTATATGAATGTGAGATGTATCACTAAGACTAACGGACTTTTATATGTATTTAAAACACAAATATTGTTTTTCTTTTGTATATTATGGGTCATCTTTGAAAGGATGTGAGTTGATTCTATCGTTTTAAGATTTGTTAAGCTTGATTAACATATAATGTATTCATAGATTTTGGTTAGCTAAAAGTATATTTATTATTAGAAATTGCTAAATTTATTTATTTATCAATTTAGGGGAAAACCGGGGATTGATTTTTAAATTGACTATGTTTTAGTTTGCACTTCTTGACATTTTTATTTATTTTTATCAATAAAATAATTTTCCTCATACTGTACACCATCAATACACTGACAAAGTGTCTACTTTGTGCCCATGGGTGGCAAAAAAACTATTTTAGTTGTCTTAGCATGCCTCACTCTCAAACCGTAAAAGTTAAAATTTTATATTTGCATTCCCAAAATAAAAATTAACGAAAAACATTTTCACCATTAAATTGTAAATAAAATTTAATGGTGCAAATGGTGTATACATTTACATTTTTTTATGTGAAAAGTTGCCAAGCGAGCAGTTGGTTCACCTGATGTTAAGTGAATACCGCCACCCATAGACACGGGCTAAACCGGAGAGTTTGTAGATGCATTAAAATGTGGCCCCGACTAACTCACTCACACGCAAGTATTCAATTCAATCTAGACTTCAGCTTTGAGGTCGTGGTACTTCCCCGGACGAGCCTGACTATTGGTTCAATAGAAGAAGCTGTACATACTAACCACAGAACCATTGCCGTTATTTTATCGGAATTTCGATTCTGAACCCGAGGATTTTACGTTTACTAGTGCTTGAAGTATGACAAAAAGAGGATACCTACGGAGTTTCTTTCGCCTGTTTCTTCTCCGTTAGCTGAATCTCATTACGAAACGGTGGTAGATTTCAAAAAATGACTATAGATATATGAAATGTATATTTCTTAGAAATTAACATTTTTTTAGTGCTAATCTCTGCACTTAAGATTAAATAGTAAAATTTGTAGAAAAAGGAACGAAACGTTTTTCGCCTGTATATATATTTCTTACTTCGATGAATAAAATTTTTGATTTGATTTATGCCTGAAGAGGACATAATTTACTTCGATCTCACTCGGAAATTAGTCATAATAACGACGATAGGGAAACATTTTATTAGTTAGTATTGAAGTTTGTTAAGAGTTCTACTTAAATCACAAAATGTTGGGTGGCCTTGATGAATCCAAAATATCGTTTGCGATGACAAGGTTTGGTCATTTTAATCCACCCTGAAAATCGAGAACTTTTCCACGGTTTACGTTGACTTTCAATCGTTACCGGTTTATGCAAATTGAATTATGTGTAAGATATTTAATTTTTTCAATATATTTTTATCTGAGATCAGAAGTGTAGGTATTACAACGCAGTAGTTTTCACTGTTGCACGAATGGGCAGGTCCGATCGGGGCAGGACCCCACAGAATACCGGTGAGAAGTGGAAGTTTCGTCTGGTGCGTGAGGTAACCGTAACACTTTATTAAAAGGTAGAAAAACATCTGAACCCAACGCGTGTTGCAAAGGTGCAAATAAAAAGTATTAACATTCTTCAGGTCTCAGTTATCATATAAAATTACTATTTATAAATGACTGGTAAGCTGTAAGACGATTTAGTTAATAAAATTCACTTGAAATTCACAAAAATCTTAAACCGCTTAATAAATGGCGCATAGTTAATTAGCGATTGCACAAGGAGTCTACTTTAAAGTGTAAGATCTCCTTTGCAATGCAAATTCTAATTGCAGAGTCTAGTTATGACCGGCAGACGGTATTCCAAGAGGGCAGAATCGATTAGGCGGGTCTTAAGGAATGTATGTTAATTCTCAGTTCACTGTTCACAGGGAATTTCTACGTCGTCTAACGCAGCTTCTAAGTTATGTAACTTACAAATTCTCAGATTTCTCCAGATGAGAGTTTAACTGAATGGTGGCCTGCCGCAGAAATACGTAATCTAAGTCCGAAACTCAGTTGTGTCTGTTTTCATTAATTTTAAAACATTCTATTGTATTTTGTATTTCTATTGGAAACAGCCAATATTTTTAAAAATATACTACGTAATTATTTGAATCTTGCTCCAGTGATATGACGGTATGTTGTTAAACCATAATATATATATATTAATACGTGAAACAAACACTTAGTACCACTTTTTAGGAAAAATGTGTGGGCGTAGGAGTTTGTAATTGCCCACACTTATAGTTTATATAGAGGAGTGCAGAATGCTGATATTTACAACCGACTTCAAAAGGAGGAGGTTCTCAATTCGAATGTATTTTTTTTATATTGTTTTCTTGATTTTACGCGAATATTATACATATTAAATGAAACTACTTTACGGATTTTATCGCGTTTTTATTTTGATTTAAATTCCCGACGTTTCGAACCGTTTCCAGCGTTCATGGTCACGGGACCGACGTAGTTTCATTTATTATGTATTTTTTTTATGTTTGTCACCCCATAACTTTCTACGGGGTAGACCGATTTTGATGATTCTTTGTTTATTTGAAAGCTGGCGTTTCCCATGTGGTCCCATATTAATTTCATTGATAACTCCCGAAAATCAATCATAAAATAAATGCAAAGCGAGATTTTAAGTTGGTTTTGTTTTTCGTTAAAAAGAACTTGTCTTAAAATGATGTATAAAAAAAACATTAAAACATTTAAAAAAAACTTACACACACTACCAAGGTCGTTTTTTAATTTCGACCACTAGGCTACCACAAGTAAAGCTTAATTTTTAAACTTAAAGTATTTTACCATTCCATTCACTGCCATTGAAAACTTTGTTCATTAATGCTAATGCATGTAACGTTGTTAACCTCACCATATAAATTAACTGCAAGGCTGCAAGCATCTTCAAAGTGTTGCTTTGATAGTTACTGATGTGTTTCTGTTGCCGTTGTGAATGAAAAAAAAAAATAAGCGGTGCTCCCATAATACATACAGACATGCTTTTTTTGCCGTTTTTATTGTTGTATCGAGTGCGACTCGCGCTTGGCCGGTTTTATATAGTCTATTTTAGGTGTTCTTTTTTTTCGTATAATAGCCTTATATAGGACTTATTTAAATGGGTTAATCTCATTACTCATATCAATGCCCGGCCATAACTGTAATTAATCTTAATGCTTCCCATATGAATGGAAATGGACGTGTGACTGCCGTGACCGCAATGGCGCAATTAGCCTTATTGTCGCCCGATCGACCATTTCTGGACTATTACATCAAATTGCCATCGGAGGAGGAGAAATAATCGTTTATATGTATACCACATATATATTTATACTACATATGTGCTCTGGTATGTGCCTACAATCGTAAAATTAGATGCAATAAGATGCGCTTCAGGGCATTATATAAGCCTAGACGTCGTATCACACGCCTGATCGAATTCAAATTACTGAAACGGTCCTCGGACTCTAATATCAGTAGTAGGAGAGCAGATTTTAAATTCTTATATTACACTGGCCCGCAAAAATCGTGATAGTTCAATAAGTACCTATTCGTAAAACTATTCTATGTTGTAGATGACTTATTGATACATGAAAGAAAATACGAGGATATAATTGTTTTGATCAAACAGAAAACTAACTAGTGACAGCATAAAATCGTATCGTTGTTTACAAAAAGTACAGTTTTATGTAGTTTTAATACTTTCTATTTCTTATATTATAGAATATTCTTTAAAATGACGATGTGGCATGCTGTAAGTTTTTATACGATTTTGGTATACGAGTATGTCTGATCTTTCTTGCGTTGTATAGCACATCTCCCCAAGTTCGTTCCATAATGTTCTATGCGATTGAAGCCACTTTCTTGAATATATACCTTGTCCAAATGAGCACTACAAGGGTGCGCATTATCATGTACAAGAGTGGAATTTGCGCCAATACTAACTAAGAATAGCACGTATGCTCTTGCTTACAAGAGCATTCTCATTTAACATCCTCTCTACGTATCTGAGAGCCGGCAAAGATCTGTTTTCTGTCTGCCCTTACGACTCTCTGAAGATATTTCAGCCCACACTATTATCGATTCTCTACCGATACTATATTTTTTCATAAAACGGTTTTTGGTACCGTTCTCCTGGTCGACCGATAAGTGAGACTGTGGTAGGGCCACGCAGCTTACTGGCTGTTGCACGAATGGGCAGGCTCATCCGGGTTAATACCACGTCCTTACAGAAGACCAGCATTTTTTTTTATGTGAAAAGTTGCCAAACGGGCAGACGGTTCACCTGATGTTAAGTGGATCCCGCCGCCCATAGATATCTACTACACCCGAGGGTTACAGATGCGTTGACAACCTTTTGAAAATTGGGCTCCGGCTACCTCACTCCTTAAAAAAATTTTTGCATTCATGTTTTGGAACGTAACAACATTTAATATAAGGTAAACGCAAATGAATTGGTAAACGCAAATTCTTTATTGATATCACATCAAACAAATTAAAAATGAGAATAGATAATAGTATTCTCCCACCGAGGCGAATTCAAATTTCAAAATTAAGTTATGCCCGGCGGACTACAATCCTTTCGGCCTGAATCGGTGAGGTGGAATTCAAAGGACGTATGTTAATATAAAGCTAGCGAGCTTTAAATTAAGAGCGAAATTCTCAGTCGAGTATTAAAATGTCTTCGTTCTCTTTCTTATTTTATTCTAGTTTTACTAAGTAAATTTAAATATGCATGTACTTATTTAAATTTTGTATCGTTCTGTAAGCCGTTTTATTAAGGGTGCATCTGCAAACCTGCGGGTGTTGCAAATGTCAATGGGCAGCGGTTATCACTTAACATCAAATGTACCTCCATTTCGGTGGCAAACACCTTTTGACATAAATAACAATTGTAATGCAAATATTAATAATAATTAAATACATGAGTTAAGGTCTGCTAAAGCCATTA